TGAACAGAAAGTTGAATAAAAATAATTAAAGTTTTTTTTGTTGTTGTTTAATTATAACGTTTTCCATTATGATATTTATATTGCATTAATAAAACTAAATAAAAAAAATAACTTGCTTGACATGTTGTACTTTTTGAACTTGCTATTGACATGTTGTTGAACTTGCTATTGACATGTTGTAGTTTTCTTTTTGTACCAAAAAAAAAAATTGCCATAAAAAAACTCTAAAGCAAATATAATTACTTTTTTATGTTTAAAAAAAATTATATTTTACTGCGCATTTTATGTGTATGTCTGTGTGTGTACGTGTGTGTGGAATATAATAGTAACTTGTGATATATTATGTACAGTATAGTATGGTAGATAAAGTCACACTTAATGAAGAACAAATTTTTGAAAATTTTTTTTTTATAATAAATTATGTTAAGGCTTTGGATTAAAAGTATAATAAGTTAGTTGAAATTGTGCATAAGTAATAACAAATATTAGTTAAAAAATAAGTTTAAATAATAAAACTATAGGTAAATAATTATATGATAAAATATTTAGTAACATGGGTAAATTAATTAAAATATAAATGTTTAGGTAATAAACTAAATTATTTAAACTAAAATACTTAAATTTAGTAGAAATCTTTTTGAAAACCTATGTAAAATAATTTAAACTTATTACAGTCATCTCTGTTTAATCAGCGCTTTCGCATTATCTGTATAAATTAGTGTAATTAGCATAATAAAATTGACTTGTTGACATCATCACAAACTAATCAGAAGCTAATAATGTTTATGTATGTGTGATATAGATATGTTAATTGGTTGTAGCCTAGTACTTTTCAAATATTGAGGAAAATAACCTCAGCTTTAAAAAATATAAAAACCTAATAAGTTTATTTCTTATTTCTATTAATATGGCCACATGCAAAAACTGCTACCTAACCATAAGCAAATTGAATTTGTTCAAGAAAAAATTACTTTTCTAAGTATTTCATCATTTGAGGGAGCCTTCAACAAAAAAAATAAGTTACTTCTGTTGAAAATTTTTAAAACTTGGTTTGTATGTTTCAATGATCTTGTATTGTAACATGTTTCGGATTAACTGGGTAATTATTGAAGACCCAACATACAACTATTATGTGATTGATTACCTATGTAATAATTTTAAAGTACTCCTAAATTAAAGATTGATGAACATTTTTCTAGTTCAATAAACTAATGACTCTCAGTCATTAGATGGTAATAATTCAGAATCGGAAGAGGATGCAGATTCAGTCAACCTTGTTATATACAAGTTTAACAATGTCAGTTTTTATATAAATGAATATAAAAATAAACGCTTGCTATTCTCATGAAATCTCTTATTTCATCACAAAAATTAGGCTCTCATGACTTCTAGAGAATCATAATAGTATCAATAATAAGGACAAGTCTGTAATTCCACCTCTTTTTATGGTTCAGACTTTGTCACCTCACCTAAAGACAAAGCTGAATTGTTTCCTAAGAACTTTTTATCAATATCATCTCTTGATTCCACTAGTTGCGTTTTACTTGATATAGCCGTCAAACAGGTTAATCCATTGCTTGACATTCGTATCACTCCAGCTTCTGTATCTAAAGTGATTTCCTGCTTAGACTCTTCTACAGCTTGCGGCCCGGACAAAATACCTATTATAGTCTTGCAGAAGTGTTTTCCGGAGCTGTCATCAATCCTTTCAAAACTATTCAACAAGTGCTTATCAGAGTCTTGTTTTCCAGCCTGCTGGAAAGCAGCATCTGTTATTCCTATTTTTAAAAATTCTGGAGAGCGATTCGATTTGTTGAACTACCGTCCCATAAGTCTTCCTTCTATCATAAGCAAGGTTTTTGAATCTTTAATTAACAAACAGTTAAACTCTCATCTTGAATCTAATAACTTACTTTCTGATCAATGGTATGGATTTCGATCTTCTCTTTCAACAGCTGATTTGCTAACAGTAATAACCTATTGGTTTTATTGTGCATTAGATAAAGATGGAGAGGTTAAGGCCATCGCTCTTGACATTTCTAAAGCATTTGATTAAGTTTGGCATGCTGGTCTTCTCCATAAGCTTTCTTCTTATGTTCTGGTACCATCTGGTAACATCTTTAAGATTATTAAATTCTTCCTTTCCAATCTTAGTATAAAAGTTGTCCTTGATGGACAGCACTCTTTTTCTTATTCTGTAACCTCAGGGGTTCCTCAAGGTTCAATCCTTGGCCCTATACTCTTTTTAATTTGCATTAACGATCTTCCAGATATTCTCTCATCTAAGGTGGCATTGTTTGCTGATGATACTACCATTTATTCTTGTCATGATAAAAAGTCAACACTCTCTTATTTCTTGGAGGGAACATTTGAGCTTGAAAAGGTTCTTACTTCTGCTACCATGCTGTAGCAGAAGTAAGAGCTTGTAAGAGAAGTAAGGCTCACAGTGGCTGGTAAACGTGTTCAGATAAAACTAAATTTTTTTCAGACAATCTTTATTGCAATATTTTAAATCTTCCTATATTTATGAACGGTAATGTACTTGGTGAGTCATCTACCCTTCTAGGATTAACTCTTACTTCTGATCTTTCTTGGAGACCATATATTAAATTCGTTGCAAAATTAGCATCTGCTAAAGTTGCATCTCTTTATCGAGCTCGACACTTTCTTACTCTGGATTCTATTCTCTATCTCTATAAATCTCAAATTCCACTTTGTATGGAATACTGTTGCCATATCTGGGGCGGATCTTCTAATGATGCCCTTTCTCTTTTAGACAAGATGCAAAAATGCATTGTAAGCATAGTTAAACCTGCTCTTGCAGCCAACCTTCAACCATTATCACATCGCTGTAATGTTGCTTCTCTTTCTCTTTTCTACAAATACTATAATGGGCACTGCTCTAAAGAGCTAGCGTCTCTTGTGCCATCTACTAAAATTCACTCCTGTGTTACTCGTCATTCAATTGTCATCCTTTTTCTGTTACTGTTCCTAAGTGCTCCAAAAACTCTTATTTGTCTTATTTCCATGAACATCAGTTCTTCAGAATTCGCTTCCTTTATCTTGCTTTCCTGATTCATATAATTTCCAATCTTTTAAATTGTCTGTCAATCGTTATCTTACAATCTTCATCTTTTCTCTTCCAGTAACTTCCAACACTAATTAGTGGTTGCTTGCAGCCTTGTTGGAAGCGAAGATATTTTTAAAAAAAAAAAAAAAAGATACAAATCAGACTAATTGGTCTATATTTAATAGCTTTTGATCTGTCTCCTTTTTTTGCCTGTGTAAATGTTTTATTAAATACAAAATACAGTGTTTAACCATATTATTAGTTACAGTTTCTTTTTTCTTCAAAAAAACTACAGTTATTTATGGATTTTAAATAAGTTTAGCCTCTGCAATCTTCAGAATTTAAATATTGACAATAGTTTACTACATTTTTTTGAAGTTGTAACATTTTAAAATGAGGCATCAATTTTTTGATATTGATAAGCTAGAATGTAGCAAAATGTGCAAAAAACAGGTTTTGCATAATTTATAAAAAAATGTTGTAAGCATGGAAGCACATGATTAACAAATAATTTTTTTGTTAAATGTTTAGTGCTTTTATGGTTCTGACTTTTGAATTCACATTATGTTTTTAACACATTTGAACTTAGGTACGTAAAAATAGAGAAAAAAAATTTTATTAATTTCTCTGTGATAAAAGTAGACAGAATCAATGCTAAACTTGGTAAGAAAATACACAAGAGGCGGAAAATGGGGAAGACTAAACATCACTACACCAAGAGATGAACTGACAATTCACAAACATAACATGTAATAACATAATAGCATTAAATATTATATACAGCATATGCTAAGAAGGAAATAAGCAGTGTTTGCCACAAGTTAGCAACTTAATGTTAAAAAACTTTTTAAGTTGTGAAATTTTTAAATAAATAGTTAAAAATAGTAATGTTTTATTTTTTAAAGAAAAATATTTATTCTAGAAACTCTGAAATTAATATAAACATTTAGCATAAGAATATGTAAAATATCTTCTTTTTTTTTTTATAGATGATATTGTGTTTTTTGTTTTAATTACAATGATAATTATACTTTCGTAAGAAAAATACATTTAACATAAGAATATGTAAAATAACTTATATTTAAATGTGATTATTTTCACTAGTGTAACTAATAGTTTAGCCACCCATGGTATAAATGAATCTTCTATGTGGCTCAAAGGATGGAACAATGAAACATGGATAGATAAAATGCTGATGAAATGAATACTAAAGACAAATAATTTTTAAAATTGCGCGTGCTATCTTATTTACCGCAAGTACGCAAAAAAGTTCTGTCCATTTAGTCATCATTTTTTATGTACTTTTGTTCTAAACAGAAAATTATTATAAACCTTCATTTCCAATGTCTTCTTTTGTTACACTTTAAAAAAATTTTAATTCATTTTTTTTTTTAAATAAAGATTCAAGTATTGCATATTAAAAATAAAATAATTTTTTCAAGCAATTCATCATGTCTTTATTGTCTTTTTTTAAAATCTTTTAAAAAAAAAAAAATCTTTTTAAAAAAACAGACAAAGACTTCTTTATCGTTCTTTTATTGTTCTTCTTTTATTCTTTTTTATCTTCTTTTTCTTTTTCTTCATCTTCTTTTTTTTCTTTATTGCATTGAAAATAAATGTAAACTTTTGACTCATTGCTGTAATGTTATGTCTATTTATTTTCTGAACGTCAACTTACTATTACGCTCAAACAAGCTTTTTTTTTACAACTTGTCATTCTCTTAAGTTACAGATTTTAATTCACATATGTTTTGGTTTAATTCTTCATACTTAAATTTTAGTTCTTTTTTTTAAAAAAACTTTTGGCTAGCTGCGTCTATGCGGGTTGAGTCTGCCTTCAAGTTTTTTTGCAATAATTCCAATTTGCTTTTGGAATCTATTTTTATTTCTTTAGTTTTTATAGTTTGTTGTTTACTTTCAATATTATTAGAGCGGAACTGCTTAATTGTGAAAATGATGTTGACTTTTGTGTGAAAGTGTATTGTCTACGACGAGCTTTTAAGGTAATCTGTATGTACTGTTGATTTCATTTAACTTTTTTTTAAATTATAAGTTGTTATCTTTAGGTTTTGAGATGTGTGTTGCCACCACCAGCAACTTTATCATCATCATCAACATCATCAGCATCAGCATCAGCATCATCATCATCATCAATGTCATCATCATCATTGTCATCATCATCATTGTCATCATCATCATTGTCATCATCATCATTGTCATCATCATCATTGTCATCATCTTTATCATCATCATCAACATCATCGTCACTGTAATTTTCATAAAAAGTAAACATAAATTGGTTTCAGCCTAAAATTGTTAACATATAAATATAATATCAAAAGTTTCAGTATATATATGCAAAATATACATTTGGAGTGAATAAAAAAAAAAACAATTACTTTTAAATTTTTATTGGTTTTGCTTAAATTTTTATTTACGTAAAGCTGAGCAGTTTACTCCAAAAAATTTTATTCACCTAAAGCTGAGCAATTCCAAAAATGCTGAATAATTGCTCAGTCTTACGTGGATAAAAATTTGCCCGAAATCACTAAAAATTATATTCACATAAAGTTAATTAGTAGTTACTCCAAAAACGCTGAGCAAAAGCATTTGCTTTTTTTATTCATTCAGCCTTATGTTTTTCTTTATAAAAAAATTATAGTTTTTAATTAATAATTTTCATAGATATGCAAAAAAAGAATTATTGTTTAATTTCTACAGTTATAAAAAAGATCAAGATACCATTTTAGTTTTTTTTTGCTTTTATTAGATCTGCAATTACTTTTTGGAGGTTTGTTTTGTTTTTGGAAGTGAAATTCTCTGACATATTCAAGATAAGCACTTCCCAGTATTACTAAATAAATTTATTTTTAGTAACTTTCAACCATTATTTTCAAAATAACTCATGAACAGCTCCTCCTATGTTTTTGTTCTTTGTTACTTGTTTGAGCTACAAGCCAGCTTCATTATCATTAAGAATTTTTAGACTGTTCCAAATGATAAAATGTGTTTAAAGTAGTTTAAGTGTTTCTTACTCAGTAATTTTTTGTTGTAGTACAAATCAGTTACTTCTAATGATACTACTAATAATAATAAATTGAAGTTTGAAAGAATAATTTTAAAAAAGTTAAACAAAAAGTAAAGACACACACCTGATGAGAGACATCATTGCAGCTCTTGTGCACCCTGAAATATAATTTGTGGTTGCAATCCTTTTCTTGCAATGGGGGATCACTGTATTTCCACTACTTAATCCTCATTGGTTGATACAACACAAACATTTTTACCTTTACCCCCTCTCTGATTTTAGATATTGTTAAAAATTATGAATATTCACCAAATCCATCTTATTCTCAAAAAATTATACTAAAAATCTAGTTAATTTACCGTGGGTCCCATGATAAGCTTAGTTTTTAGAAGAGAATTTCTTAAAGTTGGCATTAAAACAGTCTTCCAATTTGGTAATCCCTTCATCAATACACTTTGCCATTATAAGCCTAAGCTGCCTTCGAATAATCATCCAGGAATGTACCAGTTTGATCTACACAAATTCAAGAGCATAAGAGTATTGTTGCAAAAGCCTGGGATACATCTGGAATAGTGGAGCAAACACAACATTGTAATGGTACAGTATGCTTGGAGAACCTGAAAACATTTTCTGTTTCATTTTTTAATTTTACAAAATGTGCAAACCACTTTTTGTAAAATTAAAAAATGTTTAATATCTGATGTTGCAATAATATCATTTTGTTATGTTCATAATAATTTTTTAAATAGTTTTATTAGATAATTTATTAGATTTTTGATAATGGCTATATGAGCTGAAATATCACATGAAAAAATATACCGTATATTATGTTTTAATGCTTATATTATTATTATACATACTTTTAAAAATGTCATTTAAAGTATGTAAAAGCCAAACTATCTTTGTTTTTTCTAAAAGTGTTGGCATGCAACAATAAGTTTATGTAAAAATATATAATATTTGTTCAATACGAGTTCATAATTTATTTATTGTAGTTATTTGTTTTTCAAGTTAGACAAGTTTTATTAAAAGAAAAATTCTTCTATTTTATTTGAAAAATACAATATTGCACAAAGAAAACTCTAAACAATTATATAAGTAACATGTCTAACAGAGCAGCTCTTAAAAATTGGGTGTTCAAATCCTGCAGCTTTCACGCAAATGATTTAGGAGAAGTTACTGTAAAAGTTACTTGCTGTAAAACTTGCAGATCTTTTGAAATTACACACACATTAAAATACAGACTGCTAAATTAGCAACAGAAATGTTCATAAACGAAACAGCAGTCATAAAACAGAATAACATTTCAGATCATACTTTATGTTCCTCATATGCATGTGGTAGCTGTCTTGAGATTAAGTGAAGCTAAGAAAAAATTTCTTGATTCTAAAATTCTAAAAATGAATATTTTAACCAGGGTTGGCGTCAAATATTTATTTGTACTTGTATTTAATAAAAATAGGCAAATTAAAATAAGTTTAAAAATATACTTATTTATGTTGTATTTGATGAAAAATGTTCTTAAATATTTGTGTTTGTATTTGGTAAAAATGTATTTGCAATTCCATAAAGTAGGTTAACCAGTGTTGTTTTTATGTGGAAGAGGCTTTTTAAAAATTGTGATTTTTTGAAGAAAAAGAATCTGAAAATAAGTTTAAGAATAGTGGATTTCAAAACCACTGCAAATTTAACAAACATTAAACATGAACAACTTTTAACATGCGCGTTTTAAGTCATTTATTATATTTCAAGTTAAAATTATTTCTAAAAACAATCTGTGTTATAAACAATTAAACGATTAAATCTTACTATAAAATCTGCATCAAAGTTTATTTTAAATTTATAGATAATGGATTAGAAGTTATGAGAGATCATAACTTCAAGTTAAATCGTGTTAAAAAGGGAGTGTCCCAGAAACTCTTATTATTTACGAGAAATTCCTACCACTGCTTTGAGATAACGCTTATATGCTTAAAGTCGCACATCTTGAAGATGTAAACTTTTATTATTTTATTTTAATTTTTATTTCTAACTCTTTTTGCATTTGATCTTAATGTATTAATTGGTCTTTCATCACATGCAGGTAAAAGAGCTTGCTTGTGGTGTAATGGCGAATGTAAACTTTATAAAGGAACTCTTAAAACTACTGTTGATCTTGATTCCTTTTATGAAGCATATATTAAATATGGATCCATCAGTTCTTCTATGAAGGTATATAATAATATTTTGAACAAATGTCTAGTAAATATCTTAACACGGATAAAAATACTTTACTAGAAAATTTGAACACCTCCATTATTTTTGCGAAATGTTTTTTTCAAAAAAGAATCTTTTAAAGACATAAACTAAACCAAAATTAATCAATAAATTTCATCAAAAAATATTTTGGCATACAGGAGTTGTGGCTATGTAAAATTAACAACCCTTCATTTTTTTTGAGGGAGTCCAGAGTTGTTTTTTTCACTCTTAGCAAGTGAAACTATTCTTAAAAATGATTAAATCATGTTAGCAGGACCGGATTTACATTTTTGGTGGCCCTAGGACGAGTTATGTTTTGGAGCCCTTTTTATAACTAAAATTTTCTGTTTTTATGACATTTTATATTGGAACTGAGAATGTGTGAAAAAAACAACTATGTAACGCATGATATAAAAATAATTAGTATATTTTAATTTCCATTTTTAGTTAATTTTAACAACAATTTCAAAAAATTCTGACATTTTTTCACCATATTGGGACCCCTATAATTGCGGGGCCCTAGGACGCGGCCTAGTCAGCCTATTGATAAATCTTGATAAAAATGATAAATGATAGGTCTTGATAAAAATGATAAATAAAATGATAGGTCTTGATAAAAATGATAAATGATATATAAAAATGATCAATATGACTGACTATTGTAGAGCATTTGTTAATGTAGCAGTTTTTTGACCATTTTTACAGTCAATCGTTTCCAAAGTCAATTGTTTTGAGCAGATTTGTGATGCATGCTTTTTTCTCAACAAAATGGGTTTCGCAATTTATTAGAGGATTGTTTGATTCTAGAAACATTACTGTTCATTTTCAGGAATTTGTGTTAAGAGAAATGAATGAACTTTGGTTTCAAAGAATCTTAAAAACCATTAGTTGTATTTACTTTTCGAAAAAGGTCATCTAGCATGACCCTTGCTTACATGGTGGGTACCACATATCTGGAAAAAAAGTTTTCTCTTGAGGTATATTAATCGGGTCTCAAAAAGAAACAGAAATTTATATGCAAAAAACAAAATTTTTCAGAGAATTAAACTTTTGTTATTTTTTTTTGGTGTGCATATAGTGAACTATTGATTTTAGTTTTTCTATAATTTTAGAGATATTCTTAATAAATATGATAAACAGCTTAAACCTGACCTTAAGAAACTAGATTTATAATCATATCTAAGGGATATTCTTTAGTTCATGTTGTTTTCTATTGGATAAAAATTAGTTTATTCAGTTAACTGCGTTACATTTTATTCAATAGACTTTTAGTTTAAACACTAATTAAAAACTCTTCCTATGTAAGAATTTGTACATAAAAAAGGGTTGGTTTTTAAAAAGAATAGTTTTCAAACTAATAACACTAAGTATAACTATTTCTATTAAATTTGGAGCTTCCAATTTAAAGAGTAACAAATGTGGTAAACGACTTTCTCTTCAAATAGTCATGGAACCGCAAGTCTCTTTTGAACTTTCTGACAATGCGACAAAAAAACATTGTTTTACAATTTGAATTGGACTAAATGGAAGAAACTCTGTTGCCTTCAACAACTAGTTCTAAAACTAGATAATCTTGAAATTATTAACTTATTATTATTACAACACTTGCAAACTCTTAAAAAATTAGTTTTAACTTTAGTAACAAAGCATTATGGGTTGTCTTTTGGGACCAAATAGTTCTAATAGTATGCAACATCTAAGGAAATATATTACTTTTGCATTAATGATTTCAAACAGCTTTATTAAAAAATTAAAAAACAGCATTAAATAAGTTTTTTTAAGTCTTTTACTAAGTGTCACACTAGAAAAAAATAACTGACAGTAAATAACCTGAAAGTTTTCTTTAATAAACTTATTTATTCTGATTTAATTTACTATTAAAAGTTTTATATTTTTTTAAAAATTGTTATAGTTAAAATGATTATAACTTTCTTATGCATTGCTAAATGTTCTTAAATAATTGCGAAGATTGTGTCCATTTAAAAACCAAGCCAGTGCAAATTCTTTATTGATATATAAATATATATATATATATATATATATATATATATATATATATATATATATATATATATATATATATATATATATATTTATTTGCATTCACTCCCAACAAGGCTGCAAGCAACCACTATTAAGTTTGGAGTTACTAGGAAAAAAAGAACAGAGTTATACAGCAAGTATACGGTTGACAGAAGACTTGAAAAGTTGAAGGTTGTATGAGTCAGGAAAACATGAAGATGGGAGAGAGTTCCAAAGGATTGAAGTGCGGGGAAAAAAACTAGATAAATCTGTCCCTGCATGCTCTAAAAAAAAGTTTTTAGAGCATGCAGGGACAGATACAGTAAACAAATGAGACTTAGATGAATGACAAGTAAAACGAGAATGAATTTTAGTTGATGGAACTAGAAATGATAACTCCTCTGAGCAGTGACCATGATAGTATTTGTAGAAAAGAGAAAGAGATGCAACTTTATGACGATGGGAAAAAGGCTCAAGCTTAGCAGATAGTCCAGGTCCAACAACATTTACAATGCGTTTTTGGACCTTGTCAAGAAGAGAAAGTGTATCGTTAGAAGAATTAGCCCAAATATGACAACAGTATTCCATTATTCATATATGGTTTCTATGAAAGGTCAGTAGTAAGCGATAATCTAAGAAGACGTAAAGAGGAGGACTCAGTAAGAGGATTGCCATTCATTAATATAGGAATGTTGACCATATTACGGTAGTTGTTTGCAATAAATAACTGGGTTTTGTTAGAGTTGAAATTCACAAGCCACTGTGAACCCCAATCTATTACTAAAGTGAGATCGTTTTTTGTTTTTTTATTTAATTTTCTTATTTCTCCAATTTTTTTTTATTATATTAAACTTGTTTAAACTTTAGTGCTATTTTCTTTGCTTTAATTTTAGAATTAATTTTTATTAAATATCAGGTGGACACGGAAAAATCCGGTCAACTTTAAATTGAGATTTCTCTAAAACCATAAATGCTTTTTGTTTCAATTTTTTTATTATTAAATGTGTTTACATAAATTAGAGTTTCAACTTAATTTTAAGGGGCTTGATGGGTTGCTTGGCAAGAAATTGAACTTTATAGCGGGTTGATGCCATCATTTTACAGATTTTTTCTTTTTTCACCATATTTGTGGCATTAATCATCTTTTTTTGGAAGTCCTTTTTATTATTTGTTAGTCCACATGTCTTACGAAGAACTCCTTTAACTATTGCCCAAAAATCTTCAATCTTGCGCTCTTCAGGACAATTTGGAGGATTCGCATCTTTAGGAACAATTTTCACATTATTATCTCTGCGCCACTGTAAAACTTTTTTAGAATAGTGAGAGGCAGCAAGATCCGGCTAAAAGAGACATCGGTATTTGTGTTTTTTTATAAAAGGCAAAAGTCTTTTTTGGAGGCATTCTTTGATGTAGAGATTAGCAGTCAAGGTCTGATTTAGATTTCTTGCTATTGAACGTAAAATCGACTTTACCTTTTTGGATTTATGGAAAGTTTTTTTTCTTGCACTTCCAAGTTTTATTTCGAAGCTATGAGTAGTCTTGTTTATAATATCTATGACTGTAGATTTTGGGACATTTGTGCGTTTAGCAAACAAGCGATAGGAAGTCGATGGATTTTTGCAAAAAAAATTCACAACTTTTTCACGCACCTTAACTTGTTTCCAAAACATTTTGCAAATCATCAATTTGTAAACAAAAGTTTATCAATACCATTTAAGATAAGGAAGTAAGGTTTAGTTTAAAAAAAAAATTAAATAAAAAGCATTTATGGTTATGGAGAAATCTCAATTTAAAGATGACCGGATTTTTCTTTGTCCACCCAATAATTTAAAGTCATTTCTCAAATTTTTTTAAATTAAAAAAAATCAAACCTATTTTACAAAAATTTTACACTCTATTTTGTGAATAAATGTATACATAATTGCATAATCAAAGCTGAAAGTTTTTGTAAAAAAAAAAAAACTACATTTGATCATTTATTAAATCATTTAAAAGAGTTGAAAATTTTTATTTTGTTTAAAATATTGTTTAGGATTTATTAACTAACTCTGATTGTCGTTGTTGGTTTATTAGTTCTGGAAAAGAAGTTATGGTTTCTTTGTTAAAGCAAGCTAACCATGTATGTGTATCTATTGTATTATTTATGTACTGTGTACAGTACAAAATTTATTTAGAAATATTAAATAAGGGTTGTTTTTCAGGAAAAAAAAAAAATGCAAAAAGTCAGCAATTTACATTTGTTTGTATGTGCAAATAATAGCGCCTAATGTAAAATGATGTTTTTTATAAAAAGATTTAATTGAATGTATGTTTGAGCTTTTTGATTCAGTTTTCATTAGATTTAAACTTTTAGGATTATAATTGTTTCTCTGAAAATTATGATAGTATGCTTGATTATTGCTCAGACTCCAATAACTGGGAATGTATTGAGGAAGAGCTATCTTCAAGAGGAGTGAGTTTTTCTTAATTTCAAACTGGTCAATATAAAAAGGAACTTGGATTAAAAAATTTCTATATGATTTTTAAAACAGGTTTGCACCCTTAATTTCTACGATGTTGTGCTTGATTTTATGATTATGGACTCTTTAGTAGATTTGGAGAATCCACCCTATTCTGTTACCACCGCCATCCAAAATAAATGGCTCTCTACAAGATTCAAAGAAACGGTTTGGTTATTTTAAACAAGATTTTCATTACTTTAAAATTTAAATTATTATATAACTTAATCTATGATATTTATTCAATATTTATAATTATTATCATATGATAAGATTGTATATGATAGTATGATAAGAATCGTGTTTTTAAAAGTATTTAAAATTGCACCATAGTTCTTTAAGATATACTTAAAACATAAGTTTTAACAAAATTACAACTTAAATTACAGGAAAAAAGACTGACAAAGTTAAAAATTAGTCTTTAATATTGAGTTTTTACATTTAGTACATTTAACTCAATATGGAAAATAAAACATTTTTAAAATCTAAAAAATATTTTAATTTATTATTAAATTTTAATTAAATTTATGTTAATTTTTCAAGTTCATATTTTTTTTTAAGTACAGTATGTAAGCAATAAATGTTAGATGGATCTTGCAATTCTCTAATAATTTTAAAATGGGTAAGTAAAAAAAAAAACTGTAAAACTTTATAAAAAATCATGTTTTTAAATAGTTCATTAAAGGTTATGTGGCATAAAGTTTTAAAATGGGTAAAATAATATATTGATGTATATCATTAAAAAGAACTTAAAATCAATATTTCAAAAGAAAAAAAAAATTTATCTATTTTTTGTGGCGATTCTATAAAATATTACAAAAAGCAAAACTCTAAGTTCAAAAAAACAAAAAATTAAAGTTAAGTTATTCCACTTTAAAAATCCTGTAGTTAATATAAAGTTCTAAAAAATGATAAGGTACAGAATCTAGTTGAATAAAACTCTTTAGTAAATGCTAGATATGCGCATACATCGGTAGTAAACCAATTATTTTTTGATATAATTTTTGTTATAATTGAAAATAACAGACTGAAAACAGACCTAAAAAGGCTCAATATGGCTGATTATTATTCAAAATGTTAAAAAGTTGACAATAAATTTTGTTATGCTATCATTATTAAGTTTACAAGCATTAGCTACATCTAGTGGTCTTCCACAAAGTACGTAAGCAGGTATAAGGAGGAGGGTTTACCCAAAAACGTACGAATGCATACAAGTGGGGACATTTGTGTTGAAAATTGTGAGTAATTACGCGTACATACTTTATGGGTGACCCCTACTGTTAAACTGAGTGTTAAAGATTGTGAGTAATTATGCGTACATACTTTATGGGTGACCCCTACTCTTAAACTGAAATGTACACTGACGTGTACTACTTAAACGCTGTTAAATTGGATAGGCACTCCTGTCAAACCCCTATTCTGACATTGAGCATTCTATATGTCAAATAACTCTAATTTATAAGGGTATATAGTGATAAACTTATTTGTATCTGCTGAGGGTTTGGATTTTGGTCTGATAGTCTTGCAAATGAATGGATAATTTTTTTTTTAATGTTTGCAGACCTTAAATAAACATCAGAATACATCAAAATAGGAGTTTGACAAGAGAGCCTATTGTTGAATTGTTACAATAGTCTCCTTTTTTTTTACAGGCTTTATCTACAGCAATATGGGCAGTAATTAAAAGCAAAAAGAGTATGCTAAAGGTAAATATATTATTTTTATTAATATGGAACTTATATTTCTTATTGGAAAAAATTGTATTTTGTTTTTCTTTGTTAGTGCAAAACTAAAATAATTATATTTAGAATGCAAATGGCTTTTATGCAAAATTTTATGACATTTCAATGCATATTACTCCAGTGCTTGCATGGGGACTTTTAGGACCTGTAAAGGAGTTAAATCAGTTATGTTCATCGTTCAAGGTGAGTCTAACTTTAGTGTACTAAAGTTAATAGATTGCTAAGTCTGGTTTTTATTGTCTATATAGTTATTATATGTTGTGTGTGTGTGTATGTGTGTGTGTGTGTGTGTGTGTGTGTGTGTGTGTGTGTGTGTATAAAGTAGTTGTCAAACAATTAAACACTGCAATATAAAATATCTATTTCTTTTATTATTGCTATTAAGAAATTATAATGAAGATACACGCATATATATATATATATATATATATATATATATATATATATATATATATATATATATATATATATATATTTGTATGTATGTATGTATACAGGATGGCCAAAAAGTCATTCGGCCATTTAAATTGGAAATAACTTTTTTATTTTTTTTCTCAATTTTTTTTCTCAATTTTTACAAATTTATTGGAAATAAGTTTTATTTGATTTTGAAAATAACGTCCTTTAAATATCCACCATTTTGCTTTTCACAATGACGCGCTCTTTCTAGGGATTACTTTTCGTAATATTTCTTGGCAATGTCAGGCAAGATGTTTGGGCAGTAGCACCATATTGCTTCCACCATTTTTCTGCTATCCTCGACCGCAGGACACACGACATTCTCTCGCAAATTCTCTATATCTTTCACCATTGACAGTTAATGTGTTTTCTGCATCTTCTTCAAAGAAATACGGTCCAAAACTCTATCCTCATGTACTTCACACCAAACCGTTATTTTTACGGGATGTAGACAACGTTGGAGAACTATTTTTTGATTTTCTGTACCCCAAAATCTCATATTTTCTTTAAGATAACCGTTTAGGTGAAAATGGGGCTCTTCACTTATATAAGACTGTTAATAAACTCTGGTTCTTGCCTTTCCAATTCTCTAAAATGGATTGTTTCCGATAATCAGCTAATGCCGGCAGATTATCTGACAAGATAATCTTCTGAACTTGGTCTCCCAGCGCCTGGTAAATGACTCACAAATCTGTTAATTGGAAACCGCCAGACTAAGTTAACTATCGTTTGTTTACATGATGGTTTTATAACTCAAAAATTTCGAGGGTAAGTTTTTTTGCGAAAGCAAAAGATAAAATTTCAGATAAAATTCGATTTTTTAAACACGTTCGGTCGTGAATTTCTCCATGTTTAATTTCTAAAGAATACGCTTTAATCTGAAATTAAAAAATAAAATTTATTAGTTATAAAAAGTTAATTGAATTTAAAATGGTCTAGTGACTTTTGGGCCATATATATTTTTCTAACTTAAAATAGGATACAATGTTGGGGTTTCTTCGAGATATCTTCAACGTAGAAATAGTCAGTTATAAATCTGTTGAAAGTTTATCTAAAGATATATTTCGAATAGCGAAGCAAAGAAAAGAAGAATTGATTTTCAAACTTTAATATTTATATTTTTTATTTATACTATTTGAAAAATAGTTGAGTGTTAATTTAAAATATTTTTTATTGTTGTACAGCAGCATTTTAAGAGCTATGAAACTTGTAAATATATTCTATTCTAAAACTAAAATTGTTTACTTAGTTTATGTCTTTTTTTGCTATTAATCATGCTTTATTTTCGATATACCTTTTCTATACTTCGATAATCTTTAAACGTACTTATTTGATTTCATCCCAATTATCAATTTCACAGTGCAATATAAATAAAAGTATGGGTTTTGTTAAGCGTTTGGGTCTTCTCCGAAGTTGTTAAGCCACGATATGAAACGATAACTATCGTTTTTGTATTTTAAATAAACTTGTTTCGTATCTGTTTTTACGTGACAAAATAAAACTTGTTTAGTTTAGTACCAGTTTTATTGAAAACAATAATTTTTATATTTTTTTTGTCGTTTTGTATTGTATTATTTTAAGACACAGCATGGCCTACTTTAATTACACGGCCTAATTTGTTGAATTTTCCGTAAAAAATTAGGACACCAGTTTTTTCACATGTTTAAAAGTTTTTATTTATGGTTCATGTTGGCAATATAAATGTAATATTCTTATTATTTGTAAAAATACGGGTCTTTGTAAATCGATTCCATACCGATCTTTTCTATACTTTTTCCATATATATATATGTATATATATATATATATATATATATGTATATATATATATATATATATATATATATATATATATATATATATATATATATATATATATATATATATATCCTAGCTTTCCGGACATGTAAAATACCGGTCTTTACTGAACCTTTCGTTTCTATACTTTCACCAATCCTTTCATTATATTTTTTTCTTATTTTCTACAATATTTTTTAGTAAAATAATTCTGAAAAATTGCGTTAAGAGCAAAAATATTACTTTAAAGAGATAAAAAAACACACGCATCTTTTCCGCATATGTAGAGCTTATAAGAGATTTATAATTAGGTTTTTTTTTCTCCTAAACGCATATCATTGTTTGCTCAATGGTTTAATGCGCTGTCATCATTTTCGTTTCGGAGGGTTTAAGACCTCCCGTAATAAAATTTGATATTGTTTCAATTTTGCTTATATATTTATAGCAAAAAAAAATTATAATAATAAGCAAAAAAGATCTCTAACTGTTAAAATAAAAGTTTAAAGTTTTCTCATTTTACAGATTTATTATACACGGTTATTCCATACACTGCCTCCTAACTCAACCTATGCTTTAGACGTTTACACTTACAGACGTTTCTACGTAACGCTGTACAAATGGCAGAACTAAGAAGAACTTAGACTATTAAAAACTATAGGCGCGGCCTTAGCTATAAAACACTAAAAGATATAAAACTGGTGCAGATATTTCATTTCACAGATAAGAGTTTATATTTATTATAATAGTAATAAATAGTTTTAAAGAAATAACATAGTAATCACTATATTTAATCTTTATTTGAATATACCCCATAAAAATATATTCTTTATATTTTTAATAAAAGGAATTTTCCTAAAAAAATTAAACAAAATCTTATTTCTGCCACAAAGTGACGTCACATACGCAAAAGAACTTTTGGCTTCAGCGATATAGAAAAAAACCGCGTCTATCATATTTAATGGTCTAAGAAGAAGATGACGTAAATTTAGCAATCAAGAAATCAAGAGAGGGGCAAATCTAAAATCGAAGTTTCAAATTTTCTAGATGCATCCGACAATATGCTTCGTGGTTATTCAATCATGTCAATTTTTTGAAATACAATAACATAAATACCATAATTTAAAACAAAACAGCTTGAGCAAAAGAGACTTAATTATTAAAAAGTTTTTCTTATGTTACACACGTATAAAACTGGATAAAAAGTTATATAAGTGGATTTTTTACATTTCCATTTAACATATTTATTTTTATATTAGATGCTGTGCAGTATAGCTGCGCTTATTTAGAAAACCCACTTTATAAATTTTACTTTATGTTAGTTAATTACAATCGATATAAGACTATATAAAATAGTATAAGACTTTACAAAATGGTTTGTTTTTCAATTACATGAATAAATTCAATAGATCAGCAGCCGTATTCATATCTCTCCGTTAAACCTTGTGATAAGCTGTCAATTAATTAAAAGTAAATTGGCAGTTTTTAACGCCAGCGATATAATAAACTCGTATTCTTCGTTTGGTTAATGGCAGAAGTAAATTTAGTTACCGGAAGGCTGTTAACGCCAAAATTTAACCCTACTATACCCTACAGTTAAAACTGCAATCGGAGGAATTTTTTATTATATTTTAATATAAGAAAAATTATATAATAAATTTGATATAGTTTATAGCTTATTTGTTATATAATATATAGCTTATTTGTTGTAAAAGTAAACGTAATTGTTTACGCTTGTTTTGATTGGATACCATTTTTTATTTTGTCCGTAAATTCCATAAGCTTTTTGTTGACTGCTGCACTATGTTGAGTAGAACCTACTACATCTCTTTCCATACAGACACCAAATGAATTAATGTTTTGAATTCAATTTTCAGCTGGACAGGAACCATAAATCCTAATAAAGTCAGTTTATAGGTTTTCTTACATTCGCTTTCATGCAGCTTGACACCAAATTTACCTTCTGTGCCTCAAAGATGTGTATTCATCATGCATTAAGCTGAATTTATGTCCCATTCGAATTTTTTTGATAATTTCTTGTTTCATCACTTCTTTTTTATCAGAAAAATTTTGATGGATTAAATTCATCACAGTTGTTCACTTTAATCACTTTTAGGAAGATCGTTTCCTCTTTGTTGAATCGATGAGCGAATAAATTTATTGTTTGTTATCGTATTAATCAAAAAAACAGTTTTCATTTATATCGGTTTTGACGAAAAACGCGGTTTTTGGTACAAAACCTTAATTATAATCAAATGCAAAAGAAATTTCATTTTATTAGAACATTTGTTTTAAAATTTAATAAGTGTATAAATAATATGTATAAATGTTATATATAAATATACATACATAAATTATATGTATGTTAATTACATGCGCATCTGCATAGCATATATGGATTTATTTATGTATAAAAGCAAATATGCATGTACTTTGATTCATAAATAAACAAGTTTATGAATATATACATCCATATATATATATATATATATATATATATATATATATATATATATATATATATATATATATATATATATATATATATATATATATATATATATATATATATATGTATATATATATATATATATATATATATATATATATATATATATATATATATATATATATATATATATATATATATATATATATATATATATATATATACATATATATAAATGCGATTTTTGTTATTATAGTATAGCTATGAACTAAAAACTTTTCAGACGATTTTTTTGGCTTTAATAATAATTATAATCTATAATAATCTTGACTAATACTTTAAATAGTGACCTTGTTATTTATTCATATCTAAAAAGTTAAAACAAACTGTGTTAACTCATAAATATACAATTTAGTTAAATGGTAAGTATGATGTCGCAATTTTTTAAAGCAAAGTACAATAGTGTAACTGTTGTATTGAAACAATAATTCACTTTAAAAAAAGATTACTAAGACGGACATAGAGGTGGCAGTGTAGCTATCTTCATTACTGATGTATTTATATCTCATAATGTTAATTAGTTCTATAAAACTGTTCTCAAACAAGTTTTGGTATCAGTAAAAAATAACAATAAATACATACTTATCTAGGTTAGCTAGTTTAATATAATAATCGCTGAATTCTTCAAATTAGCTCAACGCATAACTAGGAAGTCCTATGATGGCTGCCTCGTTATCGGTAATTTTAACATACCACATTCCTACGTCCAGACACCCTATGGTTGCTCAAACCATATCTTGGACTGGTTATTTACATACAGCAGTAATTATATTTTAAAATTGTTTTCCTAATAGGCAAAAATACTAAGAGCCACTTTATTATCACTTGAGGAATTTTTTCAAACCGCTTCAAACTGTTTCCTGAAAGTGAATCTTAGTTGTTTAGTTACAACAAAGGCGATTACCGTTAAATATCAAACTTTTTTGCATCAAAAAATTTGGTATATTTTATTTGTGCTTAATACCGCGGAACAATTGTTTAATTTATTACTTTCTAACAAATGTACTGTTTGCGAATATTTTATCCTTAAGGTTTGTAAAACAAAGAAAAAGTATGTTTGAGTTACTCCACATTATAAAAACCTAATCCGAGCGAAAAAATCCGCTTGGTATATCATTAGCTTAGTTAAATGGAAGAATAATAAATTTAAAATAATATGCTATCTTCTTAATCGTTCCGTAAAAGCTGAAATATTAAAAGCATAATGAGCACACAAAAAGGAAATTATATTAACATCCCTCTGAGTAATATCCGTTGTTAAAAATTGATACTAACCTATATAAACTTATAATGACAACTTGGATTTTTTTATTTCAGACATTATTAACTTCCCAATCTAAACCCCTATAAATATTTTTTCCATTTACAAATATTTTTCATAAGTTCTTTAACTCTGGAATACTACTCGTTTTTTAGAAGTTAGCAAATTTTAGCGCAGTCTATAAAAAAACGAAAGTTAAGTTACTTGCTGAAAACTATTGACCTACTTCACTAAACTCTGTTGCTTGCAAAACAGTCAAAATACTTGTTACGAAAAAAATCTTTAAGCACAATAAAAACAATAATAAAATGCTCTCTGCAAATCAGCATGGCTTTCTTCAGCATAAATTATGCGTGACTAATCTAATAGAGACTTTTAATATTGTTTTATCTTCTATAGCATTTCATCAGTTTATTGATGCAATCTCGATTTCGCCAAAGCGTTGATTCTGTATGTTAAAACAGACTTATGTTAAAATTAAGATTTTTCGGAATAAATGCAAAACAAAATAAAAAGGTATAGTAAATTGGTCTCTAAAAAACTCTCATAAAATGCGTAATTTAGAAGTCGTTATGACGCCAAGTGGAGCACACATTTTTGAACAGTTGTCTCAAAGTCCTTACAAATTCTTGGTATGCAAAAAGACATTCACTTTTATTGATGAAAACATGGCTCTCAAGTTATA